AAAAAAAAAAAAAAGAAAGAAAAGAAAAGGGTATTCCATGTTTATGGATTGGAAGGATCAATAGTGTAAAAAATGTCCATACTACTCAAAGGAATCTACACAGACTTAATGCAATCCCTATAAAAAAAAATCAGTGGCATTCTTCATAGAAATAGAAAAAGAAATCTAAAAATGTATATGGAATCACAGACACTCAGAATACCCAAAGCCATCCTAAGCAAAAATAACAAAACTGGAAGAATCATATTACCTGTAGTATAATCAAATTATACTATAGAGCTATAGCAACCAAAAAGGCTTTGTACTGGCATAAAAACAGACACTACGGTGAACTCATTTTTGACAAAGGTGCCAAGAAAAGAAGATATATTAGGGAAATGATAGTCTCTTCAATAAATGGTTCTGGGAAAACTGGATATCCATATGCAAAAGATTCAAACTAGATGCCTATCTCTCACCATATAAAAAAATCAAATCAAAATTGAATAAAGACTTAAATATAAGACCAAACCTATTCAATGACTAAAATAAAACATTGAGGAAACTCTCCAGGACATTGGACTGTGCAAAGTTTTCTTAAGTAGTATCCCACAAGCATAAGCAACTAACGCAAAAATGAACAAATGGGATTACACCAAGTTAAAAAGCTTCTGCAAAGCAAAGGAAATATCAGCAAAGTGAAGAGACGACCCACAGAATGGGAGAAAACATCTGCAAATTACTCATCTGATAAGGGATTAATAACCAGAATATATAAGGAGCACAAACAACTCTATAGAAAAATATCTAATAATCTGATTTTAAAATGGCCAGGTGCAGTGGCTCACATCTGTAATACCAGCACTTTGGGAGGCCGAGGCAGGTGCATCACTTGAGGTCAGGAGTTCAAGACCAGCCTGGTAAACATGATGAAATCCCGTCTGTACTAAAATGCAAAAATTAGCCAGGTGTAGTGTCACGTACCTGTAGTCCCAGCTACTCAGGAGGCTGAGGCAGGAGGATTGATTCAACAGGGTAGGCAGAGGTTACAGCTAGCCAAGATCACACCACTGCACTTCAGCCTGCGTGATAGAGCAAGACTCCATCTAAAAATATAAAAATAAAAATAAAAATGGACAAAAGATCTGAATAGACAATTTTGCAAAAGAAGACATAAAAAAATAACAAACAGGTATATGAAAAAGTGCTGAACATCATTGATCATCAGAGAAATGCCAATCAAAACTACAATGAGATACCACCTCACTCCAGTTAAAATGGGCTTTCTTTGAAAGTCAGGCAATAACAAATGCTGTGAGGATGTGGAGAAAAGGGAACCCTTATACACAATAGGTGGGAATGTGAATTGGTACAAACACTATGGAGAACAGTTTTGAGATTCTACAAAAAAACGAAAACAGAGCTACCATACAATCTAGCAATCCCACTCCTAGGTATAAAACCAGAAGAAAGGAAACCAATATATCCAAGAGACACCTGCACTCTCATGTTTTATTACAGCACTATTCACAGCAGCCAAGATTTGGAAGCAACCTAAGTGTCCATCAACCAATGAACGGATAAAGAAAATGTGGTACATATAAACAATGGAGTACTCAGCCATGAAAATTTAAAAAAATGAAATCCTGTGATTTGCAACAATGTGAATGGAAATGAAGGTCATTAAGTTAGCTGAAATCAGTCAGGCACAGAAAGACAGACTTCGTATGTTCTCACTTATTTGTGGGAGCTAAAAATGAAAATAATTGAACTCACGGATATAGAGAGTAGAAGGATGGTTATGAGAGGCTGCAAAGGGTAGTGGGGAGGTGGCAGGGAAGTGGGGCTAGTTAATGGGCACAAAAAATAGAGTAAGATCTAGTATTTGCTAGCACAATAGGGTGGCTATAGTAAAAAATAATTTATTTGTACATTTCTAAGTGAATAAAAGTATAATTGGATTGTTTGTAATAGAAAGGATAAGTGCTTGAGGTGATGGATACCCCTTTCTCCCTGATGCAATCATTACGCCTTGCATGCCTGTATCAAAACATGTCATGTACTCCATAAATATATACACCTACTATGTACCCATGAAAATTAAAAATAAATAAATAAGAAGCAACACAATCAGACCTATATTTTACAAAAATAATTATGACATAATTGAAATTGGGAAAAGCATTGAAGGGCAAGAGAACTTTTTGCCAGCTGTTGAAGTAATTCAGTAAAGAAATGGGCACTTACACTAAAACGAAAGCAGTAGTGATACAGAGACATGACTGGAACCCAAACACTAAAAAGGTAGAATTAATAAGGCTCTGTTACTGCGTTGAAATGGTGAACTACCTGTTATGAAATTTTGAAATCTAATTAGCATCAGATACAATGGTCTTATCCAAAGTAAACCATTTGGTAAGAATTTTGGCTATGCTTCCAAAATTAAGAATTCGTCTTGCAGAGGAACTTACTATACCATAATTAGTTCACTATCAAACCATTGTTTTCTTTAACATAGCAGGTAAAAACTATGCATTTGCTAGTCTTTGGCAACTATGGTGAGGTTACATTGAAGATATTGTTCTTTGCAGCTTATAAGAAAGTGTGGGAACAGCACAACTTTTCCAGTTATAGGTTCTAAATTTTCGGAAATCTGCATCGTCCTTCAGCCATCTATGGTGCATTGGCTGACCTGCATTCCTTGAGTTGGTCCTGTTTTCCCCAGGATGGATCATGAAGCTGCCCAGCTGGAGAAGCAGCATGTGCACAATGTGTACGAGAGCACAGCCCCTTACTTCAACGACCTGCAGAGCAAAGCCTGGCCTCGTGTCCGCCAGTTCCTCCAAGAGCAGAAGCCAGGCAGCCTCATCGCTGACATAGGTAACCCAGCGTTGGGCCATGTAGCATGACATATCTTCCATTGAGCCTTTGCTTTTCAGATTCATTTTTCATTTTCGTTCTAACAAGCATCCTGAAATTGCACCCTTGGCATGCCAGTACCTAGAATATTCATTTTACAGCAGAACCTCAGATAGTCAAGTCAACAGCAAGTAGAAAACATTATCAAACGTGTTTCTTTCTTTCCTTTTTTTTGAGATGGAGCTTTGCTGTTCTCAGCCAGGTTGGAATGCAGTGGCACAATCTCAGTGGGCTGCAAACTCCACACCTCCCAGGTTCAAGTGATTCTCCTGCCTCAGCCTCCTGAGTCGCTTGGACTACAGGTGTGCACCACCACAACCAGTGAATTTTTGTATTTTTAGTAGAGACGGGGTTTTGCCATGTTGGCCAGGCTGGTCTCGAACTCCTGACCTCAGGTGATCCATCTGTCTCAGCCTCCCGAAGTGCTGGGATTACAGGTGGGAGCCACTGCCCCTGGTCTCCAACGTCTCCAACTTTACATTTAGACAGTGTCTTTTCTTTTTCTTTTTCTTTTTTTTTTTTTTTTTTAGAGCTAGGAGGGCACCTTAGGC